TTTGGATTAAATGACAATTCGTGGACTTTAGATTTAGTTCCAAAATGTTTCAGATTTTGGCACAACAGCATTAAAACTCCATTATTTTGTACAGTTTCCTCCAGAATAGGAGTGTATCTGGATCACAGAGCAGGTATTCTGTCTTTCTACAGCGTCTCTGAAACCATGACTCTCCTCCATAGAGTCCAGACCACATTCACTCAGCCTCTATATGCCGGGGTTGGGCTTTTTAATGGATCCTCTGCTGAGTTTGTTAAACTGAAATATTCAGACTTGTTCCAAGGTTCAGTTGTTTAAAATATGTATTTCATTTCCAGTTTCTTTCAGCCCCATCATTGTTGCTGAGAGCTACTGTAACTCAGAGATCAGCTTTCTTCATGGAAATACTTTATCATGTTTGCTGTTTTGTTGGTATTCAAGTTTTTGGGGTGCTGCTATTTCATGTTTTTGTTCAGCTATGGAGATTATCACTGCTTAACATGATTTTTATTCACTAAACTAATGACATTTGCATTAATTGCTTTGTCAGACCAAATGTTGCAATACAAATCTACTGTATGTACTGATTAATTAATGATAAACAGCAATTATCAACAGCTCATCATTAATTGGGATATTGCTCATTTTGTTCTTAGACCAAGATCAGATTTTAGCCCAAACTGGTTGTAGAAATAAATAAAGGAGCAGGAAACTGAACAAGAATTTTAATGGTGTATGCTGTTCTATGTTTTGATAAAATATACGGATGTTATAACTGTCTTTATTTTTTTTTTTTCTGGGATTACATCCCTAAAATGCTTTATTATGTCCAAAAATCTGTAGTAAATTTGTTTTTTTTTTGGAAACTTTTGAAAACGGTAAAAATTCAGTATTTGATTGAAATGTGATGTGTGTTTTCCTTCCTATATTTACCTCAATAAAAACAACATCCAGTATGAGAATGATTGATTTATTCTAGAAAGAACAAACACATGACAGAATTTTGAAAGTTATTTTTTGTTGAGTAATTAATTTTATTATTTTTTTCTATAAGAATAAGCGAATCATATCAGTGTACCACCCATTCCACCTTAAAACATTTGCAGAGCTACCACTGATGGTCGTCCCAGTTTCTCGAAGATAAAGGTGTCACTGGGCATTAAGAACAGGGCGGTCTTAGCACCTTTCGCCATCTAGCAACTTTGACCCCTATATGTAAAGATTTTTCAAACTCTTTCAGCAGCTTTTTTTTTCTTTTTTGAAAAGCGACCAGTAAAAAAATCTAATTTGTTCTGTTCTTGAGGCAAAATGAAGGCACCATTCGCTCTGAGTTTAATACCGTCATGGTCTAATGTCTCCCTCCTCCAATATAGCCTGTGATCAGTCTCAGTAGCAAACAGTAGTGTGACTCCCCTCTGTTTCTCCATTGAAAATAAACATCCACTAAAATGAGTGGTTTAAAAAGCGGTTGGCATGCAAATATAATTAAAAAAAAATCTTATTTGTTGCACTTAAAATTACTCCTCTGACACTCAGTCAGTCTACTTAGATCCAGCCCAGCCCCAACATCCCACATCCTCCATAACCGCCCGCTTCATCTCACTCAGTTCCAGACTGCCTGCGCAAAGCAAAGCCTAGAGCCCATCATGTCTTGCTTGGAGCTCAAGGAGAGCATGCGCGACATTATTATTTAAATTATATAGTCGAGGATTTTCGCCAATTTTTGAAAAGATCCACCCTCTCCTCTGTGACACCTCTGACACAGATCCTAACAGTACCCCCTGAAGATGGGACAAATTGTCTTTTGGGAGGATTGTCACCTGGATCCTGTTTAATTGTGATGCTCTCTTGGATAGACTTTTATTGAGATCTCAGGTTAGAGAACCAATCATGCAGGATCCTTGCAAAACAGTGGAGAGAGAATCAGTCGAGTCAGGTGGAGAAAACTGAGAGCTTCAGGCTTAAGATTTTTAGAGCCAAGGCAGTACTGTAGGTAATGGTTAGTTTGAAATGTGAGAAGAATAAAAAAAAGAAAAGAAAAAAAGACTACTTATATTGACAGAGATTTAAGCTTTGAAGTTTGAAAATAAGCAAGGTTCTTATGCTATGTCCAAAATAATTACTGTGAGCTTTGTACCCTCAGGCCACTGTCTCCACTTTTCCAGAGCTAGTCTATTGGCAAGCAGTTCTCCACCACCAATGCTAGAATTGATCTCAGTGGTTGTTAACGTTTTGGAGAAGAAGGCGCATGGGTGAATTTTTCTATATGCGGGGGATCTCTGAAACAGAACAGGCTGTCCAGGTGGATGTCTCCGATGCTGGCGTTGATGCTGTTCTGAATTAGCATCCTATGCTCAAGTTGAAGGTTCAAGGTGCATTAAAACAGGAGCTTCGGTAAAATGCTTCATTAACTGGATTTTTTAAAATTGTTTCTGGATCGGTACTCACACATCCACTCACGCATCCACCTTCAAATACATAGCCCAAGAAAGTTATATAGTCAATTATTGACAGTTCTCAAAAAGTTGGTTTAGTACTCTCTGGACATCTTTTCTGGTTTTCCCCAAACTATTTGAGAGAATGAGAATATCATCCAGGTAAACAAAAATGTGTTTAAGAAGTCATTGAGCACAACATTTACCAGGTTTTGGAAAACAGAAGGTGCATTACAAAGACCAAAATGCATGACAGGGTACTTAAGAGGATCTTTATAAGCTTTGAAAGTGGTCTTCCTACTGGTTCTTGGAAAAGATGCTCCACCTCCGAGTACCCCTGGTTTAAACTGCAAGGCTTGGGCTTTTGGGCAAATAGGACAATTGGAAACCAAATTTTGAGGGGAACCATAATACAGGCAGCAACCAGAGATTTGACAACGTTGTTTTCTTTGGGAGATAACTTGGCTCACCCAATTAGCATGATGTAGACTTTATCAGGGATTTGAGAAGGCAACTGCTCAAGGGAAACTGTTTCTTAACTGGGATGTTAGATTGTTGAATCTCTTTACTCCGAAACCTTTCCCAAATTCTGTCGTTAATTCTGATGGATAAATCAAGTAGATCAGCCAGAGAAGGAGGAGAATCTGGACAAGCTAACTCGTCTTTAAGACGATCATTTAGTGCATATTGATAGACAGCTTTAAGAGATGTATCATTCCTTCCAGACTCAAGCTGTCAGGACTCCAGTCTGTGTGTTTGTTTTTGTGTTGTTCTCCCTTCCACCAGCAGGAGGCGCCTGGTTCTGGTCCGCCTCCTCAAACACCTGATGATGGTTGCCTCGTTAACGGAGTGCTCTTAAACTACTGATTGCCACTACCTCGACGCCACAGTGTTTGGCAGTTTAGGGTACTCTAGCCAAGCTGAGTTTTGCTGAGTAAGACTAAGTTCTTGTCTACCTGAGTTTTAACTTTGTTTTTGTCTTTGCCTCTAGGCAGGAAGTCATCATGCAAACTGGACCTTTTCGGACCTTCTCTCCCTGGAGGAATCAACTGAGCCTCAAACCGAGCTGCGGATTCAAACTGGAGGTTTGGATTCAGTTTGCTTGAGAAGACGTTGAAATTACTCTCTGAGCAAGGGAATCATCTCCACTATGACCCGTTCAAGTACAGCAGGATATCTGATTGGCAGTCAGTTTCTCCGTTCACCAACAACCATCCAAGTTCTGGGTAAACCCTCTTCCGCCCTCCACCGAATCAGTATAACACTGGAAAACAGCATGCAGATTGGAGTCAAAGATCCTACAACTTCTCTGGAAACGTGAGTCAACAACCAGATCCTCTTCTCCAAATCCACAAATGAAATTTCCCACTGAGCCTGAACTAATCGTTTGTCTTCCCTTCACCTTCCAGTTCCGGTCGAGCTGGGTTCAGAGCAACTCTGCACTGTGCCTTATCTCTTCAATAAACCTGTTAAACCTTTCCCCTGGTGTCTCTCTGAATTGGTTCTCTGCATGTGGGTCCGAGCTTTAGATAAAACCATGACACAAGCACTAGAGTATAAATATCTATAGTCAGCTATGCCACAGAACTGTTACCCTGAATTTATTGGCTGCTTCATCTTCATTAACAAAACTTGAACAGGTCCAAAAAAATCCTTATATGAGATACAGTTGATATATATTTAATTGATTGCTTCTGCCTCTCTTAAGGCTCAGTCTCTTAACAAATCAATGATGTATTCATTTTGATTGAAATCATCAGGGAATGAGTGAGGCTAACTGCAAGACTAGGGTGCACTGTAACAGAAATCCTCTGCACTTACCTAGTTCACCAGAATACGGCTCCGGTGTGGGTAGGGCATTGTCTTGGAATGTGTGCGGTGGAAAAAACGGACGGACCTCTAAAGGAGTCCGATTAGGGGGAAGAAACTACATTATAGGGTTACGGTTGTTTTTGCAAGTCTTGGATCTCCCAGGACATGTGGTTCATCCTTTAGATCATGGATGTCTATTGTTTGACCATGGTCTGAATAGAGGAATCATCAAAACCCAGAAGGTCTCAGCAAGAGTGGCCCATAATTGTACTGCAGAGTAAGAACATTGTACTGCAGTTCGTACAGATGGTTCTGACATGTTTACGGGAAATTACTCTTATGCAGAACACAACCATGGCTACAACCAGTAACAACCTAAAATATTTATTTACAAACAGATCTGTTGCTCTTGCTTAGGTTTATTGTTTTTAAATGCATTTGTGTAATCCCTGTTGGCAAACTAAGTTTACTTTATAACTTTAGTGAACAGTTTA